TACCTTTTGAAAAAAGAAAAAGCCAAAACAGCCTTGATTAGTCAAGGAGTAATTGGATGACTTGATTTTAGCAAGAGAATGAATTGGTTGATGATAGCCTGTAACTAAGTGTAGTGGTTCTGTTCAGATGAATACATAACATACAGTCATCAGATCTTGACAGGTATAACATAAGCAATGCAAAAATCTCTGGAGGCTGAGAGGTAAATTTTGTCAAAGAATTTTGAAGCTGATTCTTGAAAGAAATGGAAAGAAATGTGCATGCCATTAGATGATACCGTTTAAAGTGTGGCACTTGTTACTGCTGTGCTGTATACATATTTATCTGCTATTACTTTTGCATGTGAAGAAGAGAAGATACAGTCTGTGTGTCCTGGCTGCCATTAAGACCTGACAAATAGACAATTTCTGCTCTTCCTCAGGGAAAAACCAAAGTCAGGTTTCACATCTTCTCCAACCACTCATTCTGTTTTCTGTATCTTTTTTATCAAGTATCAGTTGAAAGCAAAGTGCAGAAATAACTATCACTGTGTTACTACTTTAATGCTGCCTTTAAAATATTTTTCCCTCCTGGTGTTATATTTGAACATCTTTTTAAAAAGTGTCATTGTCAGGTGGATTCTCCAAAGAGATCTGCAGGTGCCCTGAGGACTGCAACGGAGAACAGGACTAAGTGCAGAGCTCCTGCTCTGCTCCTGGCTGTAGAGAAGAGATCCAAATTGCTTCTCTGCACTGTGGTCCCACCACACTGGGACCCAAACAGCCAAAAAAAAGTGCTCAGATGAAGATAAATCCTTCCCTGAAACTGAAGGATCCTTTAAGTTTGGGCCCACTGGCAATAGAAGGGGGAGCTGGATGTGGCAGTGATAATTTCCAAGCTCCTCATTTCTAGTAACTTCATGTTAAGTCATTACTTTTGGAGCTGTTAGATGTCAAAATGAAATCTGCTGCTGTGTTATGCTTTACTGTTTTTGTATCTAAATACTTGCCTTGTTTTAATAGCAGTATCTGCATGCCACTAAAGCATTATAGGAATTTACCACAGCAGATTTGTTTACTTACAACAAGACTGATGTTTCTAACTCTGTAGTCTTTGTTCTTTCACACCAAAGGAAGTGGCAGGGGTGTATCTTTCAAGCTAGAGTGCAAATCCATCAGCATTTCCTGGGAGATTATTTCAAAAAAGGCTTATAGCTAGGATATGTAAAAGAAAGAGGTGGATTCTGTTCCTCTTCCTTTTGAAAGGTTGACTAACTTTTGATAAAAATATATACTTCACCTCTGATGGGATATGCAAGACACCAAAAAAGTCAATGCTAGTTCTTTAAATAATGAAATTAATGAAATTAATGATTAGGGTTTCCCAGTTGACTTTCCTATATTACTATATGCTTAGCTTTGTTATTGACAAACAGATGCTTCTTTGGGGGTATTCTTGGGCAAGTCTATTTGCTATCATCTTGTGTCTCAAGACCTACCTCTCATCCTTCCTGCTTATTCCAATTCAGCGTATTTTAGTGGGTTCTTTTTATTTTCAACAGGCTGCTGTTCTACATAGTGCTCAATACCAACTACTTACACTGCTGCTTACTCAGGGTTCATGGCCTGTGCCCACCTCGTGCATCTTGTTCATCGTACAAGTGTTGCACTGTCTTTAATTGGACAGTGATGTCATTCATTGTCCCTCACTTGTTATATTTTAAAATAGAGCCTTTGAGCTTTTTGTTTTGCTGCTGTTTGTGCTGGGGGTAAGGAAGGGTTATGATATCATCTTCCCTAACAAAAGAGATTAATTTCACTCACTAATAAAGCAAAGGCAGAGAAACGTATTAATAAATACCCATAAACTGTTAACAATCTGTATCAGGTTAAGAATTGTAGATTAATATTATAGTTCTTATTTTCATCTTTGTGAGTTGCAAATAATATGCACATTTTCTGGTATGTCCTATTTCTTTAATCAATTTTAGAACTCCATTTTTTCCCTACTAATTTACGTTTTTATATAGACTGTTTTTTTAAACTAGGGACTGGAGTAAAAATAAAATAATAATAATAATAAGAGTAATAATGATAACCATTATATGTATATGAGTGATGCACAGTACAATTGCTCACCACCTGCTGATAATGATCACGGAGAAGCGAAAGGAACCCTGAAACCGAAATCGCAGTTACCGAGAGAATTCCCATTTTTCTGGTCAGCCCCAGTTAATATACTAAACATGACGTAATATGATCTGGAATATTTCATTGGCATATCCACCTGTCAATTCTGGGTTTTACTAACTACGACACTTTTTCTCCACTCCACCCTTCCATTCCTTTGTTCTTGGAAACTGCCCAGGCACAGTGTCCTGGTAGTTATCAACCTTGTTCTCATAACAATCGTCACTCAAACCAAACCACAGTGCTTTCTAGCTACTAAGAAGAAAATTAACCCTCTCCTAGCAAAAACCAGGACAGGCTCCTTACCTGACCAAGTAACCACCTGTTACCAGACATGGATCTCTTGTCATTGATGTTGCCTAACTGAGCTGCAGGATGGCTGCTGACAGAGGCATGAGGATGGTGATGGGGAAAGGAGGCTTGAAGAAAACTGACAGAACGTTGAAGTCTTCATGGGTTAAAGCATTTAGTGGTCCGAGAAGATAGTGAAGGTGAAATGTATAGTTTCAGTTTTATAGGGGAGGAATTACACTGAATTAATTGGGTTTGAATGAATAAAGAAAATGGAAAAAGGAATGGGAAGATGTGAAGAAATGGAAGATAAGTGCTGGAGAAATATTTTACTGTTGTTGAAGAAAATGGAAGCATTTGTTATGACTGACTAATTCACCTTACACTTCCTTTTTCAGAAAAAACTTTGTTCTTCCTTAAGAGCAAAACAAACTGTTTATTTTTATGTTCTAAACGTGAGATCTTTACAGTCATGGAGATTTTCTCCTGGTTTTAACAATGTGGTGGTGTTTTGGTTGTTTTTTTGAACCCGTGGACACCAAATGCAGAAGGAAGATGTAAACAACTTGAGAATGTATTCTTTAGATGGTAAATGGCAGTTTTTCCTTAACACAAGGAAAATGATCATCTTACATTTTTGGCTGCATAAATACTACTAGTCTGTTGAGAAGGCTGGGCAGGTAGACTTTTCTTTGATTTGTATGGTGACATCTTCCTACTTCCCCTCCCTCCCCCCCCCCCCCCATTTTATTCAGTATTTTCCCTGTAAATCAGAACTGAGTTGTTAAATTACGTTTTCTAGTATTCATCCAAACAGCCCACATCCCCTTGAGTCAGATGCACAGACAGGTATTCATGGAAGGCAAAGGCTACAGTATCTCTTCCCTAATTGCCTCTGGCTGGTCTGGGTTGGTGTCCTGAGTTTCCATTTGACAGAGCCGCCTGCTCTCCTGTCATGGCCAGAATCAGAGTCGGATCTATTGCTGAGGTGATTTTCTTGTACCAAGGGAGATCATTGATGATCTGTGGGGAGAGACAGCTGATGGGAGAGGAGGGAGCTTCTGGTAACCACTGTTTTGAAGACGTTTCATAACGTCATGTAAAAATTATTTTGACATTTGACTGTCAACAACACTTTAAAACTGTGTATTGCTTGTTTTGATGTAAAATATTTATTGCTAAAAGCACTGTTTTCAGTAAAAGACAAAATGAAGTTTAAGATGTGCATGACAACAAAGAACCCCAACTTTTTATCATTTAAGGAATTATTTGTAGTTTACCCTGTTTCCTATCCTAATATTTAGTACAAGAAACACCTTGGGGTTTTTTTCTGTGTAAAAAAACAGTTGATTTTCATTTTGGTAATATTAAAATTATTTTCACAGTTGTTTACTCAGGCATATTTTTAATGTTATAGGATAGCCATGCTAATAGTCTGAAAATTGATCCAGGAATAAGTAATAAACTGTTTGTAATTGTTAATATATTTATTTTTTTAAATATAGATTATTTTTTTTTTTTGGAGGGTGGGTTTTTGTTTTTGGTGATGCTGCTTATCTGATAATTTAAATCCTAGTTGAATTATGTTTCCAGATTGTCTTCAGAAGGGCATGAAGTCAGCACACATGCTTCAGTAATATCTGGTTGTTTTACCCTTATGTTTCCAGTTGGCAATTTGAAATTATGGCTTCAACTGCACTTTAAATATGTGATAATAGCATGTGTTTCTAATAAGGGCCAGCACCATTTTGTTCAGATAGTGTGAATGGTTGTCACTCATATATGACAAATGCACCTTCATCTGCTTCTTTGATGGCCCCCTAAAAACCATACCCTCAAATCAGGCCGATGAAATTAGCTGCTGTGTAAATTGTGTGTCTGAGTGGTTCATTATCTAATCACCGTCAGAACCACAGTGATAAAGTAGATTGAAACAGGGACGAGGTCTGCCAGATGATTTCAGGCCTTTTTTTTCTATGCCCTGTTTCCCTTGGAAACACTAAGAGTCGTTCAGAACTTCAGAATTCTTTGTCTAGAACTTCTTTATTTCTTAATGCATAAAATTGGTCAGCCAGTGAAGGCTGCCAGGGTGATTTGTAAGGTTTTCTTTCTGTGAGTCTTTTAGTCATTACTGTGTGTATTAAAATGTTCTATGATGTTCAATTTGGCTACTATGTTTGCTACTGCTAGGTTAGATACTGTTAAATACAGCAGTGCCTATTTTCAGGAAAGTGCTCTAGCCTGTTCCTATTTAGAAGGAATTCTTAAAGATGTGTTAAGTGCTCTCCTGAAATGGCAGTGCTGTGCTTTGTATGTATCTGTATAAGGCTATGGATTTTGGAGCGGGTATGTAAATTAACAGACTAAACCAGTATGATATAAAATATTGCAGGTGACACTTGTATACTGACAGTATCGTAGATGCACTGACTTTACTTTTTCATCTCAAACTCTTGTAACTCTTAATAATAACTCTGTTGTAAATGTATATTTATTGTCTTTTTAGTTTACTATGTAATTTAAGTGTTCTTTTGTTTTAGGAGCATTTGAAGATGATGATATCACTCACGTTGAAGGAAGTGTAGATCCTGTTCGTGACATTGAAATAATACATGAGGAACTTAGACTGAAAGATGAGGAGATGATCATGCAGAGTATAGACAAGCTTGAAAAAGTAGCTGTAAGAGGAGGAGACAAGAAGTTAAAACCTGAATATGTAAGTATAAATATATGAGCTATAAAAGTAGGTCACTAAGTACTCTCTATATAGAATCAAAATTTTTGTATTGTTGGTTTTCATTAATGATCTCCCACATGGATAATATGAAACACTATGATTTTTATGTGTATTCTAAAATAATTATTATTTTGAGTGGAAAAATTGTTAGAATGGATTATTTGCTGTGTTGACAGTGTAAGATTTCACTGATAAAGCTAATTGTAATTTTTAAAATTTAACTGTTATTTTCTTGCTGATACAGCTTTATATGAGAATTGACAACTTGCATCAGTGTTCAAAGTCCATCAGTCACTTCTGAATTATTCTTGCTGTTAAGTTCTAGTCTGATGTTGTTACTAGTATTCCTGTAGCCACCAAATGAATATATTTTCTTGGTGTGGTTGCACTTTGTGTCTTTCAGTGCATGTTAAATAAAGACTGCTAGTTGAAATTAATTTTAGAATGTTGTTGTGGAAAGGTGCTTAAATGAGCTCAATTATCACAGGGTAGTAGCAGTGTTTCTTTGTAAATTAGAAATGTATAATAATTATCAAATTCAAAGTATATTTTTATAAATTATTATTTTACTGCCACTTGACTTATGACTCTGCTACACTCTGGCAGTAGTCTAGTTATTAGTTTTTCTTTATTTCATTAATCTTCTATAAATATTTTGGGTGGTATATAAAGTGCATTCTCTAATTACTATAGCAGTGTATCAGTGTGGAAACAGACTATTTATGCTTAAAAATCGAAGTAAAAACCCACTGTTTTCTCCCATGGCTTTTTAGGTAGCACGTAATAAGAAAAACATTGTCATATCAGTGCTGGTGTTTTAGTTTATCAGCATTAAAGTTCAGTGAAATTTGTTGGCCTTACCTAGTGTTTGGAAGTGAATAGGAACTGAAAGTGAACGTCCCTTTCCAAAATGTTAATCTTCATGATGCAGTGTTAAAAAGCATTTCTTTGATAGCTTCTGTTGCTGAAGAACTAGTCTTCATCTGTACTTAAAAATATTTTATTCCCTGATTGGTCTAAGCTATAAAAAACAGCCATGTTGGATGATTTGAAGGCTTTCACGTAAGCCTAGAGAGAGAGAAGCAGGCATGCTTCATTTAAGGTCTTATCTGAGATGTGTCAGCCCAGCCATGAGTACATATGGGCAGTGATTTTTATCTTTTACAAAAGATTGCACCTGCTTAGAGGAACAGTGCAGCTTATGCCTACAGTTTCAAATGGCATCCACATAGTCTTTCAATTAAAGAAAGGGGCAAGCAAAAATCCTGTCCATAGCGAATTCAAAGTTCAGCCTAAGGCTAAATTTTACACTGGCATAAGATGATGAAAACGAGGAGTGTTGTGATGCTGTTCTGCCCCGGTCTCCAGCTCTTCTTGGTTACTTTCTTGTGCCACTGGCTTTGGAAACAGGTTTGCTTGGCTCCTCATGATGGAGACATTCTTCTCCAGTTTTTGAGTGTACCTCTGTGGTGGTTTGACCCACAGTAGGACCATGTGGTCCTGCATTCACTCTGCTCACCCGGTGAGGTCGGATGGGAGTCACAACAAAGGGGGCATGGGATTAGGATGGGGACAGGGATGGCTCACTCACCAGTTATGGTCACAGGCAAAACAGACTCAAACTTGGGGAAGAAAAAATCAGTTTAATTAGTTGCAAATCATCTGAATAGACATAACAACCACATCTTACAACACCTTCCCCCACCCCTCCCTTCTTCCTGGGCTCAAATCACTTTGCTCCCAATTTCTCTACCTCCCCCACCACCCAGTGGCACAAGGGGCAGAGAATGGTGTTGCAGTCAGTTCACCTCTGCCGCTCTTCATGGCACAGAAGTCCAGGAACAAGATGTTCCAAAGCAAGCTTCCCCTGGAGTCACAGACCTGGCCTCGGCTCTCAGCTCCAGCAGGGGGACATCCATGGGCTGCAGACTGACCCCCCACTCTGGAGGTCCACCCCCACTCTGGCAGTGAGTGACTCTCGTGATCTCGATTCCATCACACTTGTCTCAGGGTCAGCTTTTCTGCTCCAGCATGGGGTCCTCCATGGCCTACATGTGGGTCTCTGGTCCACTGTTGAACTTATCTTCCATGCGCTGCAGGGACCTCCTTTGCCTTCTCCTACTCCATGCAGTGAACTGAGTGTCTGAGGTTCTCTGTCCTCCCCCTCCTCCTCCCTTCTAGCAATGAAGCTTGCTTTCTCTCTCTGTCCTTTGTTTAGGTCGATGGTCGTCTTTTGTTCAGGTCAGCGGTCTCTCCTCCAGGTACCACACCTACTTCTTTTCAGGACAGTCCTTCCCTCACAAATATGGATTTGCAGAGGTGTTTCCCTAGTGCTCATTGGCCCAGCCTGGGTTGGGGGTCTCTGCCTTGGAGCCAGAGGAGCTTTTCGCTCTCGTAAGGTGGCTCTTCCCCCACTACCAAAAAAACACGCCCCTGCCCTCAACACAACCTCTCTAGATGCTTTGAGGGTTTCATATCATACTTTGTGTTCTTCCTATGCTACGGAAGAAGGCACCACTTTTTTGTGATTGCAAAGAGACATAACTGAAGTGTGTTTTAGATAAAATTCTTATTGGTCCCATGTAACTGTAATGGGCGGTAGGTACAGTTGCTGTTGTATGACAGAGCTGCTCTTATGCATACTACAGGAAGTTTGAAAACAGAAGATATCAGGTTATTCTCAAATCAAGGGAGAGAGTAAATAAAACCCACAAATCTAGAAATGTAATTTAAATGAATTAAAGAAAACATTAAAATCTGGATTATTAATCTATCTTTACCCAGCTTCAGTTTCTCATCCTTCTGACTGACTCTTCCGTCAGTCTTCTAACTATTACTTTGTCTGTAGTTCACCTGTCAAAATCACTTTGTCATCTTGTGTCTGTAGCTTACACTTCCCATTGTTTCTTGTGGTTTTTTTTTCCTTTATGAACACATGCACAGAAAACACCAGGTTCTTGATGTTGTGTTGCTCCACCAGTTCTGTTCTCAGTAACAGCTGTTACACTTGACTAGTCTCAGCTGAGTTTGTCAACAACAATAGAGGTTTCAAAGGCATGAAATTCCTTTGTTTCTTGGAAAGGGGTGGCTGAACAGAGCGGAGAGGCACAAATTAATGCTCTTCTTGATACAAAGGCTGCATGGAGGAACTACAGTCACTAGGGAATGTCATCAAGGAAGTGCTGTGGGGCATCACGTCTTTGAGTCTTGCTGATCTTGGACCTTCTTGCTTGTCTTCTTTTGTGACTTGTGTGCTTGAATTGTAAGGTAGACAGTAGACCTTAGTAAAATGGACTTTTTTTAATGGTAAAGGCTTGTGAAAGCTCTGCCTGGTTACTTTTCTTTTCCTGGTGAATCAATCCTTAGGCCTAGTTATGCAGCTTCTACAAATAGATTTGTGTACTTTTAAGATTGTAACGGTAATTCTTGGGCTTTTCCAGTCACTGGATGTTGTGAGGCACAGTTTGCTTTGCCTCTTTTCCTTTAACATTTTGTGTTGTAGAGAAGGCACTATGGTTATATAGTATGCTGCATAATTAACTATGTGGTAAATGACTTGGGGCTCTAGGAGAGAAACCACACAGGATTGGTGATAAACGCAGTTAAAGATTATGCCTCCCTGAAGCTGTAGCCCAATGTTAGAGTGTATTTCGTCTGTTTGCTCATTCTGTACTTCCTGAATCTGATGTTTTTTGCAATTAGGTTGTTGGGCATAGAGTTCCCTGTCCAGCACAATTTGTAATATCTCCGTGTGGCTTGTGGCTACTGTTCAAGGCTTCCTCTTTCCAGGGCAGGAAAGTAATTAAGAGACAGTATAGACTGGAATTAAAACTTTTTTTTTTTCAAACAGATTGCCTTCAAAAAAGAGGGGTGAGAATGAACTTCTCAGTATTTGCCTTTTTAAATTATTTACCAGTATATTACATACTCATCACTAATACTCTGTTCTTTCCACAGCAGAGGTGTGCAACAAAAAACTTTTGTCTGTGCTCTGAGTGTTCCAAATCATTTCCCCTTTCAGGAAAACCAGGAGGTTACAAGGGAAAAACTTGGTATTTGTAGGTTGTTTTGGTTTGTTTTCTGTTTGTTTTTAAGGCACAGTGTTAACATTTTAAGTCTCTCTCTTTCTAATTATTTTCCTTTTCCCATCCTTTTGGGAGTAATTTCAGGTCAAGACACTTGAGAATTTCTTGAAAGTTTTAACTGACTGAGAGTTGTGAAAGTTCTGTGGTTCATTCAGATAAAGATACTGCAAGCTTTCTTACATGTATCGCTTTCAGATCTTTCACTGGCTTGCTTTTCTCCACTGAACAAAAAACATCTAGCACTTGAATTGCATTTTTTGTTTCTTTCTGCTTTGTTTGAGAGCACTTTGAGATCTATTGAGGAAGAACACTGTATAAGGTTAGGGAATTTTTTAGGGAAAGAAGAAGAAGGTGAGGAAAGAAAAGAAATAATATTGATCTTAGTCAATCATGTTTTTCCTTTGGTAGTTTGCTGAATATAACAAATAACCTTAATATGAAAGCTAAGGAGAAGTTACTGATTTTGGAGAGGCTATAATCTCCGTGTGACCTGTGTAAACTTGTTGGCTTCAAAGGGGATTTCACTGTGTATTTCATGGAAACTAATTGAAGTAGAAGTCATTCTTCTCATTTTATAAATATGAATTGTCTGCTTTAGAGGATTCTTTATATCAGTAAGCCTCCACAACTGCAAGTTGATTATCTGAAATCTTCAAAGGGTTTAGGGGGAGAAAAAAAAAATTGTCAGTCTGTATCAGTCAACAGTTCTTAAATCTGAGATTTGTGTTTAATTGCCCACCTTCTTGTGCCTCCGTTCTAACTTGTTAGTTATCATTTTTCCTTCACATAAGCCCACATTGCATACAGTTGGTAAGTTCACCTTTGTGCAGTGACCTGGCTTTGCAGTTGAATACGGTGTTAACTGTTCATGCTATCTCTCAGAGAATTGATTTC